TTGTTTTTATGCTTGAATTTGTGGTTTCTGATCATTTTCTCATATTTTTCATTTCCAGAATTCCCTCGGCTTCTGTTTTCTTTATTGTCTCTATTTTGATTTTCAAGTCTTGAATTGTTTCATCTGTTTCCTTGCCTTTTTGTTTGTTTGTTTGTTTTCTTTAAGGGATTTGTTAATTTCTTCCAATGTTTTTGTTTGTCTTTTCCTCTATTTCTTTGAGAGAATTTTTCATTCCTCTTTAAGGGCCTCAAACACTCTCTTAAAGTTATTTTTTAGGTCATTTTCTTCTGCTGCATCTATATTTGGCTGTTCAAGTCTTGCTGTTGTAGGGCCACTAGTTTTTATTGGTGTCGTGTTGCTCTTTGTGGTGTTGAGTGCTTTTTTTTACCTTGTCTACCCATCTTTTCCTCTGATTGGTGGAGTTGGGGCTGTGTCTCTGGTGATCATTTCTTCTCCAGGTGCCACTGGATCTAAGGCTCAGATGGTTGCTCCTTGTGGTGCGGTCATGACCATGGTTCCAGTCATTCTGGAGGTCACTTGTTTCTTGAGGTCACGCAGTGTTCCTGGGGGGTCCGTTGTGCAATCCCAGAGGTCATTAAGGCCTGCTTTCACAGAGGCTGCTTGCTTGGGGCTGCTCCTGCTGACGTTGTTGGCTTGAGCTTGCTCCAGTGGAGGTTGCTGGCTTAGGTCTGCTCTGGTGGGGATAGCTGGCTCCGGCTTGTTCCTGTGGATGTCCCTAGCTCAAGCCTGCTTCTGCAGAGGACCCTGACTCGGGCCCAGTCCCACAGAAGTTGCTGGCTTGGGCCTGCTCCCTCAGACATCCCTGACTCTCACGTGGTCCTGCATTGCTCTCTGGCTTGGGCCTGCTCCCTAGGCATGTTCCATGTACCTGCTCCTGTGGAGGTCACTGCCTCTGACCTGCCATCACCACGTGGCTGTTTTCTTTTCAAATTTGTCTTAAGGTTTCTACTACTTTGATGAAACACCATGACAAAAAGCAAGTTGTGGAGAAACAGGTTTATTTCTGTTTATACTTCCTGGTGACAATTCATCACTGTTCAGGTCAGGAACTCAACCAGAGCAGGAACCTGGAGGCTGGGACTGATGCAGAGGTCTTGGAAGAGTGCTGCTTACTGGCTTACTGGCTTTGTTCCTCATGACAGAATTTGGGAGGGAGGCAGAGCTGGGATCCTCATAACACAGAGGATCCTCATAACACTATAATTATAGCTACAATCAATGCTGTAACACATGAATTGCATGTTATAAAAAGGATCAGGCTCCGTTGTTAGGCAGAATGCAATCACTCCAAGCTGAAGCCAGAGTCCTAGATGAGTTTCCAAGTGAAGTGGCCTCTGTAGCTGAAGTTCGTTTGTACCAAGACAAAACAAATACTTTCTGGAGTTCGAACCCTTAAGCAACAATCCTAATGCAGACAGTCCCCTTGCCTGTACTGAGGAAGTGGGCCATGCTGATGAGAAATGTTCTTGGGACCAGAGGAGCTGGCATCCAGTGCTTGCCATTCCTGGTTCTGGAAGTATAGCCCTAGGCAAGGAGATAGTAAGCTCTCTGTGACGTGGGTCCTCATTTCCCGATGGGAGAAACATTTCCCACGTTGCCTGCTTGTGGTAGTTTGAATGTGATTGGCCCACATAACCTCATGGGGGTGGCACTGTTAGGAGGTGTGGCTTCGTTGAAGTGGGATGGCCTTGTTGGAGGAAGTGTGTCACCCTGGGTGTAGGCTTCCAGGTCTCATCTATTCTTAAGTCATGCTCAGTATCTCCGTTAGCTTCTTGTTGCCTGCAGATCAAAGATGTAGAATTCTCAGCTCCTTCTCCACCACCATGTCTGCCTGTGCCATGTATCACCATGATGATAACTGACTGAATTTTTGGACTGTAAGCCAGCCCCAATGAAAGGTTTTCTTTTATAAGAGTTGCAATGGTCAAGGAGTCTCTTCACAGCAATAGAAACCCTAACAAAGACAATAATTAACATATTAACCATGCAAATCGATGAGTTTCATCATTGTACATTCATACCTATGTCTGCTATGCTTGGTTCAATCTACCCTCTCTAATGCTCTCCCTGGGACACGCTGGAGAAAACTAAAGTTAGATACCTAACTTATACAGTACAAAAGGAGAATTTCGGATATCCTAAAGACTAGTCTAGGAAAGCAAAGTTATAAAGCTGTATAAGAACCCAGGAGACAGATCCTCTGCTGAGGGACACACACAGCAGGTGCTGATGGCTGGAGCTGAAGGGCTGAAGCCAGGTCGAGGCTTGAAGTTCTGCTTGGTCTCAGTTTCTGGGGGATCGCGACAGACGTGGAGATCCAGAGACAATTTTTCTGTCGCTAATCATTGGGCTATCACGTAGACGCTCCCAGAAAGCCAGCTGGCAAAGACACAGAATGGAAAATGATAGATTTGGGCTCTGAGACAATAAATAACCTGAGCTGGCAGGAGGACAAAAGATAATTTTTCAAAAGAGCCTTGTCTTAGGCTGCTGGCGACGGTGCGCTCGTGATTTCAGCAGTATGATAAAGTCAGTTCTATAAGTGAGTCTTAAAATAAGTATGCAAGGCAAGAGGTCATATGACGCGAGCCAGGTTAGCACTGGCTTGCTAGGTCATCTTGGGCAAGTCTCTCAATCACACAAGTCCCAGACCTTCGGCTACTGCTAACCACAGGCCTAAGAGCAGAAGTTACAAAACTTACAGAGGCCACACAAAGCCCAATCTTAATGATTTAGGATTTGGTCAATATTTCTCAAAGCTTACATACACACATATATCCCCACACCCCTACATACCCCCCCACAAAAGCTGAAAGTTTTTTTAAAAATTACAAGTCAATAGACTGCACTGCTCACAAAGGATTGCATCAAACATTTACAAAACATATTAAAGCTATTTACAGGAAATGTATTTTTTTTCACAGAAGGGCTTAAGGCTAGACTACATGATGAAGTCTGATAGTGACCCAGCAGTTCAGTTGGAAGAACGGCCAACAGATTGGGAGAGATGGTTAGCAGTGGCAGTAAAGACCATGGAAGTATGTGGAAAAATATCTCTGTGGTTAAAAGCACTGGCTGCTCTTCCAGAGGACCCAGGTTCGATTCCCATCACCCACATGGCAGCTCACAACTGTAACTCCAGTTCCAGGGGATCCATCACCCTCATACAGACATACACTCAGGGCAAACCACATAAAATAAAAATACATCACTAAAACAAAGTACTACTGCTGGTGGGTGAGCGAGATAGCACAAGTATTTATAAAATAGTTTCTATTGCGGTGATAAAACACCATGACAGAAAGCAAGCTGGGGAGGATAGGGTAACAGTTCATCACTGAGGGAAGTCAGGACAGGAACTCCACCAGAGCAGGAACCTGGAGGCTGGTCCTGATGCAGAGGCCTTGGAAGAGTGCTGCTTACTGGCTTTGTTCTTCATGATTTGCTCAGCCTGCTTGGTTAAAATATCATTCAGAACCACCAGCCTAGGGTGGCACCACCCACAGCAAGCTGGGGCATCTCACATCAATCATCGGTCAAGAGTTCCCGTAATAGCTTACCAAGCTCTGAAGACTGAATGACTTTTTTAGCTCAAAGTTCAAATTCCACCAAATCCTTCCCAAAACACATGGTGAGGTCTGCTACAGCAGTTCCAATCTCTGCCTTGGGTAGGGGTTTCTGTTTCTGTGATAAGACATCAGGACCAAAGGCAACTAACTTAAGGAGGAAAAGGATTAGTTTGCCTTATAGTTTATAGTTCATTATTCAGGAAAGTTAGGGCAGGAACTCAGGAACCTGGAGGCGGAAACTGATGCAGAAGCCACGGAGGAATGCTTTTTACTGGCTTGCTCCACAGGTCCACATGACTTGCTCGGTTTAATTTCTCATGCCAGCCAGGACTCCCTGTCCAGGGGTGGCACTGCCTGCAGTGAGCTATGCCCTCCCACATCAATCATCAGTTAAGAAAATGTCCCACAGACTTTCTTTCCTACATTGTCTCAAATTGAGGTACCCTCTTCCAAAATGACTCTAGCTTACATCCAATTGACAGAAAACTAGCCAGCCCAGCAAGCAAGTGTCTATCTACATGTGATCCAGCTATTCTCCTCCAAGTCTTTTAGGCATACACCTAAGAGAAATTAAAGGATGTACTCAAAGAAAGACTAATCTGGAAATATCACAGAAGCATTGTTTGTAACATCCCCAAACTAGAAACAACCCAGTTATCTATCAACAGTCCAACTTGATAAAATTGTGGTATAGCTATGCAACAACATACTGAGTAAAATTAGAAAAGAGTGAACTACTGGAATGCCCAAGAGTGTGGATGAATCTCAACATGGGTTGGCTACAAAAATACAACCAACTGAGGAACTGGAGAGATGGCTCACTGGTTAAGAGCACTGCTGCTCTTCCAGAGGACCTGAGTTCAATTCCTAGTTCCCACATGGTAGCTCATATCATCTCTAGCTCTGGGGGAGGGGATCTGACGCTCTCTACTGGTCTCTCTGAGCATCTGTGCAAGGGGCGCGTACACACAAACATACATGAATAAAAAATAAAAATAAACTATTCTAAAAAGAGAATACAAACAGTTGAACCAGGATGTAGCTTGATGGTAAAGTTTGCTTCTTACTAGAGGATGTGCAAATGGCAGAAAATGGACCAGTGTTGCTGAAGACTTGGGGTGTAGAGAGAAGGTAGGGAGACGGCTTGCCAAGGGGCATGAAGGAAATTGAGAATGATGGGCACTCTCATGTTCTGCTGACTGTTTATGCATGTACACTATGGTGGTTTGAGTGAAAATGGCCTTCGTATGCTCATATATTTGAATATTTGCTCCCCAGTTGGCAGAACTGTTTGGGAAGGGTTAGGAAGACTTTGTTAAAAAGGGTATGCCACTGGGGGTGGGATTTGAGGTTTCAAAAGCCCACATCATTCCTGATTAACTCTCCTCCGCTTTCTTTGCCTTGTGCTAGTGGATCAAAAGGAAGCTCTTTGCTACTGCTCCAGACCCATGCCTGCCTGTGGACATGCTCGGTGCCATGATGGTGCCTGCCTGTGGATATGCTCGGTGCCGTGATGACATCTGCCTGTCTGTGGACGTGCTCGGTACCGTGATGCCTGCCTGTCTGTGGACATGCTCGGTACCATGATAACGCCTGTCTGAACTTAATGCTCTGAAACTTTAAGCGGACTCCCAGTAAGTACTTCCTTCATAAGCAGCCTTAGTCATGGTGTCTTATCAAGTGGTAGAAAGGAGCTAGGACAGAATAGGTCTCACTGCAGCCCACTGTTTATTTTAACTCTGTATAGTCTATCCTATGCCGATTATATTTCAATAAGGCTGGAAGCAAAATATGCTCTGGGCAAGGAATTAGATGACATGAATTCTTTCAGGTCTGGACACAAGTTACCATGTCACTTTGACCAAGTTTTACCTGTGCCCTGAAAGCTTTTGGTTAGGTCAGGCTAAAACCCAAATGTTCCAAAGATCCAAACAGAAACTGCAGACACAGGCTGGGGGACACAGGCTAGGTTCACTGTGCAGAGCAGGCAGGGGCTTTGGCCTTACAGAATGTGGATCCTGTCCTGAAAAGCCCCTGTTGGTCATCTCCTGTCATCTCCAGTCATTTGTTTTGCTGATTTGATAAACTATGGGCACCTTTGGTGATGCTTCTGATGTCAGAGTGTATTAGTTACTTTTCAGTTCTCCTGCTTCAGCCTCTTGAGTGCTGGGATCGCAATGTGTGCCACCATGCTAAGCTTGAATCAGTTCTTTTTTTTTTTTTTTAAGGATTAGAGAGATAAATTTTTAAAAATAATTTATCTATTTTTTTTTAATGTAGATTGATGTTTTTGCTTGCCTACCTGTCTCTGTGAGGGTGTTGGATCCCCTGGAATGGGAACTACAGAGAGTTATGAGCTGCCATGTGGGGGCTGGGAATTGAACCTGGGTCCTCTGGAAGAGCAGCTGTCCTCCTGACTGCTGAGCCAGCTCTCCAGCCCTGATAAAAATTTTCAAAGGAAGGAATTTTCCCTGGGGTGACAGTCTATCCTGCGCACCAGGAGCCTCAAACTGGGAACTTGTTGGATATGCAAATCTGGGGCCACACCCGGACTCTTGAATCAGAAATTCCTGGGGTGGGGCTGTCAATCTGTGTTTGAACAAGCCTGCTCACTCCAGTGCCCTGCGAAGTGTGAGAACCACCGCTCCAGAAGGCTCGGGGCAGAGGTGGGTGGGGGCAAAGGGAACACAGAGCTCAAGGTTCTCAGAAGAGCCCGAGAACTTGCAAATGAATCTGCCAAGGAGTTCAACAGGCAGGACATGCCCGGGCAGAAAACCCACACCGTATGCCCACTGCCATTGCCTGAGTCCTGGATGCCTTTTCATATATGTTTAGTAATCTTAAAATGATAACTTTGTTTATATTGCATCGTTCAGGGTAAATTGCAGCATATTTTAAAAGAAAATGAAATTGCAGTGTCTAAGACAACAGTCTTGATTAGGACTTTCTTTGCCCATGTTGGCTGGAGACTCACTATGGAGTCATACTGGTTTGGGATTTTGATCCTTTTGCTTCCTGTGTGGTGAGATTACAATGCTCACTGCTAGCCCATGTTCGGTAGTAATTTTAAAAAACTGCACATACGTGTTTATGTAGATACGCTACTTCTGGAAGAATTCACAGAAGCCCTTAGAGGCACAAACTCTGGGGAGAGTGCCTGGATCCTGAAGTACAAAGCTCACATGTTCTGTCTAAAGTATTTGCACATTTTATGAAGGGCACAGATATACATTGCAATGATTGTAAAAGGGGAACTATAGTTCTGAAAAAGATCGGTGAAAAGAGTTAGGAAGCTTGAGTCTGCCTGAGGTTCTAGAAATTTCTTTCCCCTTCCTTCCTTCCTTCCTTCCTTCCTTCCTTCCTTCCTTCCTTCCTTCCTTCCTTCCTTCCTTTCTTCCTTCCTTTCTTTTTTCCTTCCTTCCTGTTCATCATTCCTGTTTTCCCAGAAGCCTGATTACCCCAAATCCTTTGCACGTATTAGACCGGTTAGCTCTACAGGAAGTTGGGAGAGTTCTGACTGCAGCTGAAAGCTGATTTCTCTACTTGCTCCAGGTCCTCCTCCTTCCTTCACCTCTCAGCCCACGTTTCTACTCCAGCACTAGTCTTGCTGTACCTGCTTTCAGTTCCCTGCTTTCTGCCCCAGGCTTGCTTTATAGGCATATGTCTTCTCTTCCCCATGACTGGGAAAACCCATACCACCATCCGGCTTTTCAGATATCTCCTACCGTGACCTCGTTGCTGAGCATCAGAGACATGGTAGAGTTTCCAAGGCACTTTCCCTTGAGACCAGATCAGTAGTTTACTCTGAAATTGTATTTTCTTCTTTATGTTTTCTTTTTTCCTTTTTCTTTTTAACAAAAACCCTTTTATTCTTTTTGCTCTTCACTCCTCTTTCCTGAGATCCTCACTGAAACTACCAGCCTGTGTTGGGTCTACTTCTGTGAGAACCAGGCTAAGATATCTCCTTGTAGTGAACATGGTGGAGCCTTGTAGACCTGTAGACACCTCTCATAGTAGTTAACATGGGGTTCTGGTGCCTTGTAGATCCATAGACACCTCCCATCACAGTTAACATGGAGCCCTGGTGCCCTGGTGCCCTGTAGACTCCTCCATCACAGTTAACACGGAGCCCTGGTGCCCTGTAGACCTGTACACACCTCCATCACAGTGAACACGGAGCCCTGGTGCCCTGTAGACACTTCCATCACAGTGAACACAGAGCGCTGATGCCCTGTAAACCTGTAGACACCTCCCATCATGGTTAACATTGGGCTCTGGCACCTTGTATACCTGAGGGTGGGATCTACTTCACTAAAAGAGATAACAGTTGCCCCAAGGGAGTTTTTTTTAGCTTTCCTGAAATGGAACTCCCTGCTTGTACATCTTATGCCTAAGTTTTATCTTCCCTGTTAACACAAAGGTGGTAATTTGCTATGCCTTGAATTTCAGGCATGGCTTCCTTTCCCAATTCATGGAAACCCAACTTCCATTGTGATGATATGAGGAGCTGGCCTATTGGCAGGTGACTGGGTAGTGATGTGGGGCCCTAGGGAATGGAATTGAAGTCCTTATAAAAGAAACCCCCAGAGATCTTCTTTTGTCCCCCCCCATCATGTGAGCACAACATGAATCCAACATTTATGGGCCAAAAAACTCTCCTTCACCCAATCTGTTGGCAATTTGATGGCAGACATCCCAGCCTCAGAACAGTGAGAAATCAACTTCTCTCGTTTATAAGTCACCCAGTTTGCAGTGGTTTGTCATAGCAATAAGAATGCACTGTAACATAGTTTGCAAATTTGATCCAATTCTGATCTCTGCACTTTAATTAGGTGATTTGGGGAGGAAGAAAGCATCTGCTCCAGCACATCCCCATCCTGACTCCCTGAGGATGCCTGGCTCAGTCGTCTGCAGATGCAGGCCGCGGATATAGAAGGTACTGGACCAACCTGGCAAGTCCAGCTCCTTACGTCACCATGTGTTCCTCACCCTCAGCTTGAAGTTCCCTCACAGGGGCACTGATGCCACTTAAGCAGGACTGGAAAAATGGTCAGGTGGCCTTTTCTACCCTCCCGGGCAGCATACTTTCTGTTAACACTTTCAAAGGAAACTCTAGAGTTGCTTTGGAGGAAATGTCAAGTTGGAAATGGTGGGAGAAATCCAGATGCCCCCTTTCCAGTTACCATGATAACATGAGCACCTCTTCATTGCTTTAAGTAATAAACATTTTTTTTTCTTACTTGAGAATCAAACTAAAATGTCCCTGTGAGATATTTGTAAGAATCCGACGGCCATATTATTTAAGAGATGTTGATTTAAGATAACGCTTTTCCCTTAGAGCAATGCTTCTTTGGGTGTCCCACAGCCTGAAACCCCGTCTGACAAAGTTCTTTAGGAACTGTAAAATCGGAAGATAACAATGTGCAGGCAGGAAAGAAGCCGAGTACAAGGAGCGCCTGGAAAAAACTTCTTAGCTTCAATTTAAGATAGCTTTGTACATCTTATTACATACTACAGCTTGAGGTTTAGAAGTTGTAACCCCCTTTGTGCAATTGAGGAAGCAGGTTCAGAAACAGTGATCCAAGTCACACAGTTAATCAATGGCAGAGATCAGACTAGACTCTGATTCCAACCCAAGGCCAGTATTTTTCCATGCCGTGTGACATCTCAGTGGCCTCTCGCAGCTGGAGTCCTGGGTTGCTTGCTGAACTTTGATTAGCATCTCCATATTAACAGTACTGTTTTGCACCCTCACCCCCACATACCTCACTCAGTTTCTGGACTTGGTCCTAGCCCCAGGGCTTGCTCACATCGTGAGCTCTAGGCCCCTAACATCAGGTAGTAATCTCCCACAACACCTGTCTCCAAAAGCCTCTTCTGGTCACATTCCCCGCTCATCCCTGCAAGCCCTTTGTCAGTATTTTCCCCCCCTTCACTTTCTTTCAAATGACCCTTTAAAAACAGCATTCTTTATAATCATGTGCTAAAAAAAAAAAAGAAAAAAATTAAAGATGAAAACCATATTGGAGGTCCTCCCCTCTTTCTATCTGCTAGGATTTCTACCACAAGGTCCATAGAGGTCACGGTGGGTTTCTAATGGTGTAGTATAGAATAGATGGACTCATTCATTCCTCTCTAGGCAGCGTAGTCTCTGTGGCCTGTCCAGACCACCTTGCTCCACTGGAGGCCAGTCTGGAATTCTCACTCCCTATTGTAGATACTAATACATAAAGTGTGTGATAGGCCACTGTGTGGAGTACCAAGAACCTGCTAGCCTAAAACACACTCATCCGGGCTGCTATCAAATCAGCCATGGCAACAAGGCACCCACTGTGTTTCTACGAACTTGATCTGAAAAGCATCCATTTCTCTTATGATCATCTCCTGCAGCTATAGATGCCGGAGGAAGAGGGAAGGGGCCTAACTGTCAGAAACTTTGCAAACCTGGCAACACCTTTTTCGTCCCATGTGCCGAGATGCCAAGAAGCCTGAGAGTGGGGCTAATGGGCTCATCGGGGAGGAGGCTGGGTGGAGAACACAAAACCCCACAGAGAACTGAGGACAAGACACTGGAGGACAAGGGGATACCCCGGGACATTTGTGTACAGGGAGGGTTGGCTGGGAGATGGAGGCTTTAATGAGCGAGCAGGAGGGACGCGCCGGCACGGTGCTCAGCACAGAGTAGGTGTTCAATAAATGTCAAGGAGTCTGACTCGACATCCAGCATCCAGCTGGGTGCACAGCGCACAGAGGAGGGAAGTGGCCTCCGATTGCCAGGGTTCTTCCTCCTCCACTCTTCCACCATCTGCTCCGTCCTGGTCGAATCATGAGAAGAAACACATCAAGTTCTTTCCCTGCTCTGAAGGGAAAAGCTGTTCTGTGCGCCAGGAACCCTCTGTTCCCAGATCTTGGCAGGGATGGCTCCCCCTTGTCCTTCAAGCCTTAGGCTAAATGCTACCTCCGCGCAGAGGCCTTTTCTAGTCCCTTTCTCCTCCTGGGTTCCCTATCACACCACACTATCACCCCCCACACCCACACAATTGGCAGAAGCTGTAATGATCGGGTTTGTTCCCTTGCCCTTTTCTTGCCCCACTAGAGGGAAAGCTCAGAAAGAGAAATCAGCTGAGTTTCTCACGGTTGTGACTCTGTACCTGAGATGTACTTATGCCTGGTCAGCATGTGGTCACCCCATGGTCAGCTGGGATAGACCCACAGACAAAGGTAGGCGTGATCAGGGCTTCACAGAGAGGAAGCTAGAGGGAGAGGTGGTGTAGGTCAAAACTGGTCAGTGCAACTCCAAGCAGCTCCGAGACATTGGAAGAGAAATGCTTTGGGATGACAGGACAAGGGGTGGGAGCTGCTAGTTCATCTATGAGAGTCTGAGGGCTTAGTGCCTCCACTGAGTGGAGCTCTCCAAGTACCCTCCTGACGACATTTTTTTTTCCTTTGTTCTTTTTTTGGGAGTAGGACCTACCCACTGGCCAGAAGAGATTTTATCCAATGGCCAAACCTAGCTTCCAAACCAAACAAAATTCACAATGACGGTTGTAAGTATGGCCCTGTATTGAGCATCTACTAAACACCAACCACCCCCACCAGCCATCTTATGCACCACGTTCTGTTTAAGGCTCAGTCATCATACAAGACGCCACTTCTCACCTCATCTTTAGTGTCTGGTGATAGGAGGCAAAGAGTGAATGGGACATCTGACTCACCGGGCCAGGAAGCGATGAGAGAACGTCAAACCCAGCTGCCTCCTACTCCAAAGCCAGCGCTCTTGGCCACAGTCTTCCTGGGCAGTACTATCTCCCAGGTGAATCAATTAATTGGGTCCCTTGTGGACTGAGTCATCCTCCATCAGACCGCCTGAACCTGTTCCTCTCCCGGAAACCGATCCAAACCAAATCCCCAAACTGACAAGGCCAAGGCCAAGACTCTGAAAACCTTTGATGACGTGACAGTGGAGTCGCTATGCCCTTTCCCTACCTAGAGAGTTGTTTTTGCCTCGGCCAGGACCCAGAAGAATCAGCGTTTAATTACCAGACATGTCTTATTTTGCTCAGTCCCGGAGTGGGATGGTTAAGAACTTAGAGAGGCAGACACCACACTCCGAATGCCAGCTCTTGTACTTAGGAACGAACCATGTGACCCTGGCTTGAATGTGTTTCCTTACTGATTGCACTTCAACCCTCACCTGTAAATGTAAGGACAATCTCACAGTGTCGCTGTGGGGATTACATGGAGCAGCGTGGGAGGTGCCAAGCACTGTGCTTGTCATCCAGCAAGCCTGCAGCGGTTGCTAGCCTTTATCATGATTATTAATCTCACGGGAGGGGTGCAGCTGACCAGAGTGGGTTAGAATCGGTGCAACTTCTCAGCCACCATCTTTGGGTGTGGAAAATCCTCTGGATTCCTTGTCTTTAAACTCAGGATAACTTAGTAAGTTTTAAGGAAGACGGCCCTCCTTAACTCAAAGTCTGCTTTTGTTGAGAAATGAGCAAACACCAGGGGATGGTCTTGGCTAAAGATGGATGGCATCTGAGCCTCCTGACTCCTGTCAGTACGCTCTGGGTGTGGGCAAGGGAGTTTGCTGTACCAGTTTGTCAACACAGTAAGCCTGCTGTTTGGCTCAGAGTGTTGGATGGACAATCAGCACGAGGACTCTGGGAAAAGAGACTTCAGAGACTCCAAGACCTAGTCTGAGCATGCTGTGAGTCCATCTGTAGGAATCTTAGTGGGCGGTGGCAGTCATCATCTGCTCCGTGGAAGGGAGGTTTATAGATGCTGGTACTCCCGGATGTAGGGGGCGACTCACTGTCTTTTCACAGGTAGAAGACCTCAGATCTTTTGGCACCGTACTTTCTTGGCAAATGAAAGTGGGCTGTGTTAAGAAGCTAAGACCTCCATGGTTGCCACTTCCTGGTCTGCAGGCTGTTAGGTAGCTTCTGTCATGTAGCCCATGGGGCCAGTGAGTTACCACCACTGGTGACTGAGTGTCCCAGAAGGCAAAGACTTCCCAGTCACCTTTGTCTGGAGCAATACCCTCCTCAGGGCCAAGTAGATTGGAGATTGGTGCCTGGTGTAGACCAACAGGCCAACAAATGCTGATGCTTGCCCCATCCCTGTAATTGTGATTTCCTGGAGCCCTGACTGCAGTTCCTCTGATTTCTTTTATTGCCCTTAGTAAGTCCCCTGAGGTGTTACCTTATCTGTGCTTGCCGGGTTTTCACCAATCTAAGGCTTCCTTGTCAGTCATGCCCAAGGGGCATTCCCTGAACCACACAGCAATCACACAGTAAAAAATATCAAGCCCAGAAGAGTACATCCCTCTGGGCTTACATTTTCTCCATTAGAAAAGTGAAGACATTGGACTGGCTTCTAACAACTCCATCTGTACAAATGACTTATTCCATCCAGTCCTCCATCCACTACCATACACACTCCTAGCATCTCTTGATTTCTGTTAGGAATTGCACAGGAAGAGCATGGTGAGACTAAATTTCTGCAAAACAAGAGAGGCTCCATGAAGAAATAAAAGATGGGGCTAGGGGACAGGAACACTAGCTTCTCTGAGCCTGCGTACAGGGTGCGCAGAGTGCAGGCTTTACGGAGTGGCGGGGCACAAAAGTCGCTCCCTCCTCCAGTCTCCCCAGCATTACTCAGCGTCCTGAAATGCCTGCTTCCCTGCAGCGGGTGCCGGTCGTCCTCTGAGCACGGCACAAAGGTCTCCTTGTGGGCCGGCAGCCGGGGCCGCCGAGCGTCCGGGTGACTCACGTCCTTGCCATTTCCTTTACGCGCCCCGCTCCAGCGCGTGGCTGCGGGCGGGGGCGCGGCTTTGGCGCAGGCGACGCGGGCTCTCCGGGAAGCCGCGGTGTGCTTTCATGTGGGCAGGGGGCTCCCGGCACGCGAGGCCAGCCCACGCGCACAGCCTCCCGGGGGCCGCGGCAGCTGGAGCATCGGCGGCAACGTGCTCGCAGTCTGGCTTCTTCAGGACTCAAAGCGCCCGCCCTTGGGGAGGCATGTGTTCCCCAGCAGGCGCTGCTCCGCGGCTAGTCTCCCAGAGCGCGTCACTGAGAAAAGTGAAAATTAACCACCGCAGGGAAGGCTTGTGGCGCAACCTCCTGGAGGATCTCTGGTCCCAGCTCCAAAGCACTATCAGCAGCTGCTAATCGGCTCTGTGCAGGGGACATC